CCCCCCCCCCCCCCCTCGCGGCTGCGCCCAGGTGTTTCACGTGTGGCTGAACATCATGGGAGAGATCACGCGCTTCGCAGACCGCTGCTTCTACAAGGGTGGGCACCCCACTGTACCCGTCGAGGGGACACCCTTTGCACCCACTCCGTCCGTCCCAGCCGTAAGGGACAACGGTCCTTGCGCAAGCGCGGGGCAGAGGGGCTGCTTTCTGTGCTGCAATTCCGTGACAGCACCTACACCTTCGACCCCAGGTTTTCCACGCGGTCCCCCGACCCCCTCCTGAGGCCGCCACCAAAAGCGCCCACCACCACCATCAACAATCACACCTCCAAACGAACCTTGCGCCCCCCCCTCCCCTCGCAGCCTGGTGGAACGCCAGCAGCCTGGACCAGTTCTGGCGGCTGTGGAACATGCCGGTCCACACCTTCCTCATGCGCACCATCTACTTCCCACTCATCCGGATGCGCGTCAACAAGTGAGCCCTCGCGGGGTCAGGGGTGGGAACCGGCAGACGCAAGCCATGCATGCGTGTGTGCCTCTTTGTGAGCGCCATCGCCGTTGTTAATGTTGATGGCAGCTTGTAGGGTGCTCTCGTTACTAACTGGAGGATACAAGCACTGTGCCTCAGATATAAGCACGGTGGTGCCTCATGAACCCGCCGCTTGCATCCCGCCTCCTTGCGCGCCCCCGTCCCAGGTGGTGGGCGGTGGTGTGCGTGTTCTTCTGGAGCGCGGTGATGCACGAGGTGGCGGTTGGGGTGCCCTTCCGCATCCTCAGGGGATGGGTGAGTGGGGTCCAAGGTTAGGGCGGGGACGGGTTTGGCGGAGTGCGTCAGGTTTGTGGGACTGGAAGGGGTGCGGGGACTGCGACGGGAAATGCCTTGCATTCGTCTTGGTAGGTGGGCAAGTGAGTCAGGTGTGAAGCATACGTGTGAGGGCAAGTGAGGGAGGGGGTTTGCAGCGCAAAGGGCCGCGCGCCCCTGCCCGTCTCCGCTGGATGCCTCTGCTGTGGAGCACTTTCGGGCCCATGCATCTCCCGCCACCCCTCTGCATCCGGCTGCCAACCCGCGCCACAGGCCTTCTGGGCGATGTTTGGCCAGGTGGGCGGGGCGCACGAGGCGCCTCCTGGCTTCCTGCCGCTCGGCGCCGCCTGCGTCCCTGAATGTTGCTCTGGTTTGGTGCCGCCAAACGCGTGGCTCGGCTTCTCTCAAAATCAGATGGCGCTGGCGGCTCCGCTCTGCCGTCACCGCCGTGCGCCCCTACTCTCTAATTGGTTGCAAGCACACCCAGCGCTTGTGAGCTCCTCTCCCTAACCCCTGCGCCACTCCTGCACCTTTCCCCTTGAAAAATTCCTGCCTCTGCCCAGATCCCTCTCATCACGCTGACAGCCTACCTGAGGGCGCGCCTCAAAAACGACGCCCTAGGTGCGCTTAGAGGCAAAGCACGCACCCTGGCCCTTCGCTTCCCGCCCTGCTTGTGCTCGCTTGCCAGCAGCGGCCATGTGCTGGCGGGCCGCGCAGTGCCTCTGTAGGGCTATACATGCCTCTCGCATCGGCGCGTGCTCTAGATAGCTCTGAGCGTGAGCCACCCCTGTGCCTCGATCCCTTGTTGTATACCCGGCATCATTGCGCCGCACCATTCTCTTGACTGTTCTGCTTCCCTGCAGCGTGAAGTGGGCTGGCCGTTGCATCCCAGACCTTACAGTCTGGCTCCTGCCAACGTGCCTCAAAGACCCCAAACCTCCACCGATCGCGCTGCTCGCCGACCCTCCCAGGCAACGCCATCTTCTGGGTATCGTTCTGCATCCTGGGGCAGCCCATCTGCGTGCTGCTCTACGCACACGGTGAGCAGGGCCCTGCCATGCACCCAGGCCTGTTCGCAGGCGCTCGCGCTCTGCTGCGCACACCACACACCCGCACGCAGACACATGCGAGGCATGCGAATGGCATGGCAGCCTGGAGCTGCCGCCGGGGTTGGCGGCATTGTCCACGCCGCGTGAGGAAGGAAGGGAGGGGGGCGCAACGAGATCTGCGCCCGGCATCGCCGGCTCCCACACCGCGGCCTCCCTGACCCCCGGAGCCGATGGGCTTTGCCCACATCGGGCGCGATCACGGCATTTTCCATTGCGTTGGCAGCGACTGACCCGACGCTCACTGCTACATCCTTATGTCACCATCTCACCATCGATTTCCAGAGTACCTCAAGCGGGAGCAGCCACCGGTGGCGGCGCATGCCATCTGACCTCACTTGACCTCACTTGACGTCGACACGTGCTTTCCGTCCTATTGCCTTGCCCAATAGGCACCCCGGGTGTGTGGCATTGCATTGCATGCTGCCGCACGCTGTATCCACATCGTTGCAGGACAGCACTCGTCGTCCGTGCAGGCACCTGTGTGTGCAGCACAGCCGTGGCCTGGCAAGCGGCGCCTGCGTGCGGCAAGGCCCAGAGCAGCGCGGCGCCTGCTGAGCGATGTGTCATTGATAAGACCTCTGCCGATGTGTGCCTTTGCCTGAACCTAGGCCCTGCCACGTCACAGCACGGCAGGGAACAGATCTCTCCTGCTTTGCTTTGCCAATGTCAATGTAAAGGTTTTGCCCAAACCCCTATTTGTCAGCAACCACGGTTGCTAGGCGTTGCCACAGCTGCCCAGTCACTGGCTGGCTGATCAGTGCGAGCCTCCAGAGGACCAAGGGCTGTGTGGCGCGGGGCCACCGGTCCAGCCAGCTTAAACGCCTAGTAGATAACGCCATGCAAAGCAACAGACGGATTGTTCACAGTGGCTGGAACAGGCCGGTGCGTGGGACGCGGTGATGCAAAGTCTAGCCGCGTGCGGCGGACGTCAAGGCAACCAGCCTGCATCTACATCTCAAGCACAAGGGAAACAGGCTGGCACATCACCTGGGAGCGGCAGTGGCGTGGTGACGCTGCTGTGTAAAACTTGAATTGGCGTGAAGGGTGGACGGAGGGGCACAGCGGCAGCCACCTGTGTCTGCAGGCGGGGGTGCAACCTAGGCATTGGCCCTTTGGAT